TGATGCGTAACTGCCGTCGTTTCGCGCGAATCGCATTTCGCAATTTATCTCGTCCAAGGGCATGAACGGGCGGCGGCCTTTCGGCTCAGCCATCGGACAGAGACGGCGGTCATCCGCATCGGATGCGACGCTTCTCTTACGGCCGTCTGGAACGCGCCTCCCTTCCGATATGAGGAAGCCACTGAGAGCTTTGCACTTTGAAGTCGTCTAGATCGACAGCTCGTTCAGTTTGTCGTCAATGCCCCGCATCCTCCGATTAGCGCGGTTGGCTACGTGCGTTGCCAAATAAATTCAACGCACGCACGCGGCTAGAAGGCAGCATGGCTTTAGTTTGGTGATTTCGAAAAGTGTATTGGTTTGGCCATGTTTGTGTTGTTGTAGTACAGAGTTAGACTGATGGCCTTGATCTAAGTTGTCTTGTGGTTGTTGTTGGTTGTTTGACTTGCATCCCACTGGGATTTTTGCACACAGCGTTGGTGTACGGTGTTTTTTTCTGCAATATTTTGCTGTCTTTTCTTGGATTTTCTGTTTGCACTCAGTCACATATTCACTTTAAGATGTTTTTTTTGTTCATGTTTTTTGTTGTTGCGGTTGCACCCGATTCAAGAGCCGAATGGCTCACAGGGCCATACCTAATAAATGAACTTGAAGCAGGCCAGACGGTGGAGCCGGCGCCAACAACAACAATCGCCCAAGCTCTGCAGTCCTCCATACGCTAAGATGGTTCCCGCCAACAAATGCGCGCTCATGCGGCGCGCCTGGGTGGAAACCAGAGCAAGCGGAGAGAGAAAGCCACGCGCAGGAGGAGGGGACGAACCACTCCTCCTCACCCCAATTGTACAGAAGGAACAGATGGCATTAGTCCACAGCTGTGGCCTCCCGCCATCTCCTGGCGAACCAGGGAATGGCACCTTTGTCGAGAACGCACACAGGGTGCTGGGTAAAAAAAAATGGGACCTTTTTTCCAATATAAAAAAATGGGACCTTTTTTCCAATATAAAACATGGGACCTTTTTTACAATTAAAAAAATGGGACATTTTTTCCAATAAAAAAATGGGACCTTTTTTTCAATATAAAAAATGGGACCTTTTTTCCAATATCAAAAACGGGACCTTATTGCACGTGCCCCCCCCCCCCACCCCCCACCAGTGGTGTGACCTCACTGACACAGCGAGATGCGGCGTCAAAACTTCTCCGGCACTGCACAACGCAGGCATTGTCACCCCCCCCCGTGTCGTCCAGATGACGTCGTCGTCATCATCGTGGTCATCAGCATCGTTATCATCGTGATTTTTTGATCACCATCATCATCATCAACCATCGTAAAAAATATATACGCTAATTATTTGGTGATGACGCCGCTGCTGCTGCTTGCTTTGGCAGTGGTGCACACGCACAATGAACAAATAACAAAAAGAAACATTAGCAATAACAAACAATTATAACAAACAACAATAACAAATAACAAAAATAACAACAACAAAAAATACGTCAATAACAACAATAAAAAAAAACCTGATAACAGCAACAATAACAATAGCGACAATAAGAACAATATCGACAATAATAACATCGACAAAAACAACAATAACAGCAACAACTCAACACATTCAGCAGCAACAACAATATCGACAATAAAAACAATAGCGACAATAAAAACAATAGCGACAATAAAAACATCGACAAAAACAACAACAACAACAGCAACAACTCAACACATTCAGCAGCAACAACACGAACTGTGGCCTTAATAGGGAACAAAAAAATCGATATATAATACTTTAACTAAAATATGGAAGCCGACGTTTTGAGCAATTACCCTTATTCATAACGCATACAGGCTTATGTATATTGTATACATATTTCCTTTTAAGGCAGTGTGTTCATTGATAGATGCGTTCGATTTTTTTACGACGATAATGTTTATTAATTCTAATTAACTATACAAGTGTCTACAATCTCAAGATTAAACAAATGTGAATGTGCGTGGTCAAAAACATCTCAATGCTGACGAGAGAGTAGAACGACACAAGCCCAGCGAGCTGGCACCTAACCGTGACGTAAGGGACGCGATCAGTAACGATCAGGGGCAGCAGTAGCAGCAGGAGCAGCAGCAGTAGCAGCAGCAGCAGCACCAGCAGGAGCAGCAGCAGCAGCAACAGAAGTAGCAGCAGGAGTAACAGCAGCAGGAGCAGCAGCAGCACCAGCAGGAGCAGCAGCAGCAGCAGGAGCAGCAGCAGTAGGAGCGGCAGGAGCAGCAGCAGCAGCAGGATCAGCAGGAGCAGCAGCAGCAGGAGCAGCAGCAGCAGGAGCAGCAGCAGAGGCAGCAGCAGCAGGAGCAGCAGCAGTAGCAGCAGCAGCAGGAGCAGGAGGAACAGCAGCAGCAGGAGCAGTAGCAGGAGCAGCAGCAGGGGCAGCAGCAGTAGCAGCAGCAGGAGCAGCAGCAGCAGCAGCAGTAGTAGCAGCAGCAGGAGCAGCAGTAGCAGCAGCAGTAGCAGGAAGAAGATGCAAGCTTCCTTTCTCTCCCTCCCATCATCCTCCCCCCCCCTCCATAAAAGTTTAATGGCTCCAGTCCCCAGGTACAGCAAGACCTCCACTTTCATCCACTCGCCTTTCGTCCCTTCGCTCTTTCGGCCAATGTTCCACTATAACCACATTTCCACTTTCGTACGATTTCATCCCAAAACTTCCACGACGTTCGCGCACACGCGCCGTTTTTTTCGTTCAATATTTGATTAGAATTCGTGTTTATTCATACATTATTAATGCCGTACTTATTTCTGTGATTATACTGCAAACAATTCAAAGTTATTCGTGTGATAACAGTATCATACGACAGTGTTCACGTTCATTTTCGTGATTTTAAAACACGTGCACAGTATCCATACTGTGCTTATTATTGTGATGACTGTCAAATACTCTTTTTTTGAGCTTAAATATATTCATGGTGAGAATAAAGCGAAAAGAACCCATGATGTACTCACTTTGCGAGAAAAGTTTGACATAATCAAACTTAATGAGCAAGGCTTCACACTCTTAGGCTTTTTCGGTAAAGTCACGTAGGTAAAAAATAGAAATAAAATTAATAGAAGT